GGATTGTGCGGGATTGCCCGCCAACACCATCAAACAAAACAGGCTGAAGAGTTTACCTATTTAAACGTCATCTTGTGTGCACGTATTTTCTTACGTTCTGTTGATGTGCACTCAAACAGCGAAGGATCCGGAACTATGCGTGCGTGGAATTCTTCCTGCCATGTGGACTGCGGGCAACACTGAGGGGCTGCCACTTTTACTCCGCAGAGTTGTTGTGTCTTCGCAGGGTTGGCAGGGAAATTCCATGCAGCCTGCTACTGCTGGTGTGTTCCTAAATGTTGTCACTCCATGCGAATAATGTGCTTCAGCGAGTGAGGGTGTTGGTTGGGTTTGTGTGCACTCTGATTCTGTTTGCTACTTTGTGCGGACACGCAACACTTGAGTGGTGGGAAAATGGAGCGGGGCGATGCATGGCTGCGTCTCGCCCATCGTTCAGTGCACGATGGTGTGGTGCACATTGTGGTGCTGACTCTGCGATGTGACTGCGTTTTCCTGTGCGGCAATGGTGGTGGGTGGACGAGAGTGCTGGCCCGCGGCGGGACGGCGGGATCGTGTTTTCTTTTTATTCTTTTGTGAAGGTGCACACTTATTTTTAGTGTTAGTGATAGGGAAAACAGACAAACAGAAAACGTGAATAAAATAAAATAGAAAAGGACAATAATGTGGCGGTGTTGTGGCCGATTGCACGTTGCGTTGCTGCGGGAGCGGTGGGCCTTGACTGTTTCACCGACAGGCGTTGCATTGCGGCTGCGTGGCGCACCGACCACCGAGCCGTGCGAGTGCCACGCCCAACGCCGTTGGGACTGCGGGACGAAACGGCCGCGACTGTCCTTTGGAGCCAGCGACATCTGCTGGCCGCAGTTGGGCGGTGCGAGTGGGATGCTTCGTCGCACGGGTGTTGTGATGGCCCCTCGCAGCGGCATCCCCGGCGATGGTTCCGACGCTGCAGCTCGACATGTGGCGGGGAGTAAACAGCGACCAGAGTGGACCATGAGCAGCAGCGTAAAGGACACTCTGCTGGAGGGAAGCACTCTCAGGACCGACATGAAGCTGAACGATTTCCTTCGGAGCAACTTGGGCGGCAAGGGCGTTGTGAAAAAAAATGAGAACGTCGCTATGGAGGTGTTTGTTCAGGAGCCGGATGCTTACTTACAAGACCAGCGGCTTCTTAGAATTATTTTTAATTTAACAGAGTACCAGGTGTACAAGCTTCATCACAAGGGTGTGTTCTCTCTCGAGCAATGGAGGGACTATGAAGGAAAGGATACGGTCACTCCTGTTGCAAGGGGAAAACTAAACGCAGCCCTCACTCAGATACTGACAGAAAGGCTAAGAGGAACGCAAGAAATGAAATTTACCATTTCCACTACGATCGAAGAGGTACTGTTCAAAGGAAGAGTCCGCGTCAATGAAATGAAGCTGAACGACTTTCTTACGATGGAACTGGACGGCAGGGGCGTTGTGGCCACCAATCGGAATGTTTTGCTGAAGGAGTTTTTCAAGAACCCCACGAAGTATATCCGTGATAAAGGAGTATTGAACGAAATACAGGCAACCGATGCTTATGCGAGGATGGAGAGGGCTGTAAGGGATGAAATGGATTTGGAAGAAGTTGTACGCAAGCTTCGCGATAAGGGTGCGGACAATCTACTTGGGTGGTCAGAAGCTGCTGCGGAGGTAAAAGCAACTGTTCATGACATCACTAAACACTCCTTGGATGCAGCCCTTCAGGAAGCGAGTAAACCAACGACGATTGCACCGAAAAAAATTGAGGGATTGTACGAGTCTGTTTACAGTGCGAGGTGGTGCCATGTCGTGGAGGTTTCTGGCGGCGAGGGGACGGGAATGGAGGTGAAGGAGGGGAAATCGAAACACTCATGGAATTACAAGAAAGTTGGCGACACCTTCGAAGAGGATGACGGTGTGCGGAAATCCGGTGAAGTACCTCCCAGGCTGATGGTGCTCACCTCGGACAAGGGATGGCCGTACACGCTGAATTTGCTGCGTGGGGCTGGTAATGACTTCTTTATTAACTGCGAGGTGGATCGAGTGTGGCAGATCGTCGAGCGCGATCTAACCGAGTGGTTCAGCAATTTTGATTTGACTCTCAATTCTTCACCTTTGCCGCGTGTGTTGATTGGTACGCCCGGGATCGGGAAGTCGATGGCTGCCGGTTCGTACCTTCTCTACCAGCTGCTGCACTACGACGTGGAGAAACTCCAAGTGGTTGTTCACTGTTTTGGTGGACGAGATGCGTACGTGTTTGACAAGACCACCGAAACCGTGACAAGATACAGTGATGAGGACATGTGCATCTCGGAGTTGAGAAATTTAAGGGAGCGTGGGATGAAGGGGTACATTATTTACGATGTGGCAAAGAAAGGAACGCCACCACTGAGACATTTTGCGCCCTCCACCGGATGGGGCATGATTGTGGTGTCATCGCCAAAGGCAACCAACTATGATGAGTGGGAGAAGCAAACAAAAGCCAGTCGAATCATCATGAATTGCCCCGACGAGGTGGATGTGAAGGCGATGTGTACATGGATAACGCGAGGTCTGGAACCAGATAAGCAAGCGGAATACTGGAGGATGGTTGAAAAACACATGGAAATAGTGGGGCCGATTCCACGCCACATCCTCGATGCGGATGAATATGGAAGACGCACGAAGGATGTTGAGAGGGCCTTGAGATGGATCAATATTGGGGATCAAGGAAAGTACTTTACCCTGGGAGGAGAGAAAAAATGGTATTCCGAGGATCCGTCTCACAAACTTGTGAAGATTGTCCGGGTGAGAGAGAAAAGCGCATTTGAGGACTTCGCTAATGCACCTATATGTGAGTATCTTGGGGTTTTAACGTTATCTCGTTTGACAAAGGTGCTGAGTCCGCATGATATTTTTTTCCTCGTATTGGGGATGAAGAATGTTCTTCAATCTGAGGCCTTGGAAAAGTATTCTTTGAGCGTATTCTTGATTGAGAATTTTGTCACTTCCATAGCGGAGGATCTCAATGAGCTGCAGCCACCATCGCCTTCCGAACCACGGCCCTCGGTGCTAACGTTAAACCCTCATGGTCACCCCACCGAGGCAACTGCAATAAGTAAACTGAAGTCAGTTGGTCGCCAGCAAGAATTAAAGTATCGGGTGCTGTACATACCGACGTTCCCAACCTTTCCGCTGGTGGACGGCTTTTTCTTCATGGAGTCACCGCGGAGGACGCTGGTCGGGCTGCAGATGACTACAGCGAGTGCGCATCACACCATACCCAGCACTGTGA